GGAGAAATGCAAAAGGTGGAACTAGGAAGTAGAATGGAGACAACTGACTCTGTGCTATTTGTGTCTCTCTAGAAAAACAGAGAAAAATCAGGATTCTACTAGAGATTCCCACCCTTGAGGCAGCACTTGTGTGCCCAGCTTTCTCTTTGCCTGGTGACGTGGTCCACCCAATGTTGCAAGCCAGTTGTTAAATGCAGCCACTGTTAGAAAGTAAATTATATAAACTTGCAATTAAATAAATCATATTAAAACAAAAGATGGTACTCAAAACTCACAACTTCCTGATTATTTTACTACAGCTCACTATCATCTAAGCACTTAAGGTTATTTACTTCCTCTATTGTGTCTGTGTTGTAGAAACACTATATATGGCATGCTGCAGAACAGTTCTCCCAACTCGTGCCCGTGATATCGCGCTGATAGCCTGAAATCAGCCATAGCCAGAGTACTGACATCGGGGAAATTGGCAAATGCTACAAACTGAAGCTTGTCTGCCCCCACTCTACTCCCAAAGCCACTGTCAAACATTTATCACCATTAAGTGTCCTCCTCCAGCACGGAACAAGGTTCATGCAGGAGAAATGAAGGAAAAAGACCAAGGTGTCCCTGAAGCAAAATCACTGAAGCAGAAACTTCCCTCCCTCCTCACCCTGGGATGGTAAGTACAGTGACGACAGTGATCTCAGCCTTGGATTTAGGACTTCCCTGGCTTCCCTGTTGACTCACCCTAACAGGAAATTATTCTCAGAGTCCCTCTGAAATCTCTCTTGCTGCTTTTTAATGAGCTTTTTTTTTTTTTTTTTGGCCAGAGCCTCAGTGTTCCCAAAGGCGCTGTCTCAGCATGGCTCCCTGGTTCCTAGAACAGGGAAGATGATATCATTCAACACAACCTGCACAGCCAGCTGGCTGCCTCTGTCCCTCACACCTTGCAGGAGGCTGAGCTGGAGGCTCCTCAGACTGGGAGCGTCCTCCCCAAGTCATCCTATTCAGTTCCCTGCCTTTGGGCACACGTGTGCTGGGCACAATGCCCTGCTGAAGATCTAACTATCTGTGAACAAGTCATCTTACAGGTGCTCATTAATGTCACCAAGGGAACGAAGGGAGGGATGAGTCCCGGAGATCATGCTGCCCTCCCTGCTTAAACCCCTTTCCCTTCTACCTCTGCCCATCTCCAAGAACCCCTCCACCTCCCCAGTCCCCAAGTTATTTGTCTCTGTTTCCCTTTGTCTCATTATCATCTCCCATTTCTCCTCCCAAGCTCTGTGTAGGCAGAGCTGCCGATGCCATTACCCCTTTGCAAATACCCAAGTCATCTCAAGAGTCTCCTAGGTATATGTTACCAAGTAGGGTTCAAGGCTTCCTAAACCCAGATACTCTGAAGCCCACACATACCCCATACTTCAGGAGGCCCTGGGGCAGGAGCAGGAATAATTAGAAAGATGAGCTTCTCCTTAGGAGAAAAGAGACAAACACAGAAGAAAGAGTCTGGGCTCCCAACAAGCAGGTGGCTGGGGAGAGGCAGGTAGAACTTGTGACCTTGAAGCACTATGCTCTTCTGAAGACCCACACACACACCTCTAGACCAGACAAGTGTTCAGTGTATGCCTGTTGCAGCCATCCTGTATGGAGTACAGCCACTTGGCCCACTAGAAGCAGCTGAATTGGAAATATGATGCTCTGGGCTCCCTAAAGTAGAACTTGACCCAAGGGATAAAAGCTATATGAGAGGGGGAAAAAAGTTATATGATAACAAAAACTGGGTTCAAGAGAAGAAATATTCTACTTAATATTGACAGTCAGAGGCCAAATGGCCTGATTTAGGGGGTAGTGAGCTGCCACTGGAGGTATTCAAAAAGAGACTGGAATATCCTTTGTCAGGAATACTGTAGAAGGAATTCAAATATCAGAAAAAGAGTCCGGGCATGGTGGCTCACGCCTGTAATCCTAGCACTCTGGGAGGCTGAGGCAGGTGGATTGCTCAAGGTCAGGAGTTCGAAACCAGCCTGAGCAAGAACAAGATCCTGTCTCTACCGAAAATAGAAAGAAATTAATTGGCTAATATTGGCTAACTAAAAATATATAGACAAAATTAGCCAGGCATGGTGGCACATGCCTGTAGTCCCAGCTACTCGGGAGGCTGAGGCAGAAGGATTGCTTGAGCCCAGGAGTTTAAGGTTGCTGTGAGCTAGGCTGATGTCACCGCACGCTAGCCCAGGAATCAGAGTGAGACTCTGTCTCGAAAAAAAAAAAAACAAATATCAGAGAAAGAGCCTGATGTCCTGGGGTCAAACATGCCTAGATTGAATCTTTAATTATTACCTTTGTGGTCTTAGTTAAGATATCTAATGCCCAATCCCTCTGAGCCTCAGTTTCTTCATCTGTATAATGGGGATAATGCACAACCTCATAGGATTAAAGTAGGGAATAAATAAGACAAAATATCAACAAGCATATGGCACTTAGTGAGTGCTTAGTAAATGCCAATCCCCTTGCCAGCAAAAGGGTGGGCTGGGATAGATGGCCTTGAAGGTCTTTTTACTGCCTGGGAGTACGGCTCTGAAAACCTCTTTTGCTGTGGAGAAGGAAGGCATATATCTGGGAGAGAGAAAGAAGTCAGGATTAGGTAGATGAGAGAAGGATACTGAGAAAATTGGGAAACATTTAGAGGTCTCCCTGACAGCCCCCTGTTTCCTCTCCTCCGACCTTCTACAATGAAAAAGGAAAAGTAGGATTTGAGATTTAAAGTCCAGTCTTGGTGAGGGGAGGTCTCAATTTCCACATCTGTATAGTGAAGGAGTAAGATTTTTTTTTTAAGCTGGACTTCAGATTAATCATTTTGAGCTTCACTTCATTATGCTCAGTAAACACAGCTCACCATAAATCCAGCCAAGGTCTTTCCTAGCAACTAGTACAACTATATAAAAGGATTAACACCTGCAGACACCATGCCTCTACCCATGGGCAATCCCCTGGCCTGGGAGAATGAAGAATCAGCTTTATGTGACAATAAATGTGAAACAGCAACAATATCATTCAACTGACACAGAATTAAGAGGAAAATATGAAGAAAAAAAAAAAATCAAAGACACATACACACACACACACATACACACACCCAGAAATGTACCAGAAGAATAATATTGAGATCTTGGGTTTCATAGAACTAAATATAATATCTTATATTGCCACAAATTTTCCAGTGAATTAAAATGGAAATATTCCAGTGTCACCACAGACAGATAGAATATCAACTTGCAATTCTCCCCAGTAATACATTTAAACCAACTGAAGGACCTAGAGTACATTGAACATATCCACCAAAATATTCCAGAGTTAAGTGTAAATAAATAGTATGGAAAAATCAAGGAGGAAGGCCAAATAAAATCAAGGCAGGCCAAACATACGAAGCACAAGTCCAACAAAAGAATTCTGGAGGAGATCCACGCTAAGTTCTAACATCCCTCGCGCAAGGAACCAAAGTGGAATGGACACACAATCCAAATTTTATCATGGAAATAAGAAAACCCACAGTTCTTTTCCTTATCCATGTCTCCTAGTAGACATGAAATTCCTGATCCCAGGAACTGTATCTTTTCAACTCTAATTTTTGTACCAAAGCACAATTGAGCTAACATAAAATATATCTTATATATAAGATGGGAAACAGACAGTCTAAACAACTCAGATGTAAACATACCTACCCCTGTTGGTCACTGTGTTATCCTCATCACCTCTTAAAATACAAATCATTCACATTCATCAAATACTCAGTCAACTAAGGCTCCTTCTTGAATTTTCAGCACTTAGTATGAACCTCATTGACTTTTTAAGTTTAATCTTGCTCAGCAAAGGAAATTAATCCAGCCAAGTTTCTTTTACTAACCGTTTCTATTCCACATTAGAAATTCTTTTTTTTCTTTTTTTTTCTTTTTTTTTAGAGACGGGGTCTCGCTCTTGCTCAGGCTGTCTCGAACTCCTGGAGCTCAAGCATCCTCCCACTCGCCTTCCAGAGTGCTAGGATTACAGGCATGAGCCACCGGCCCGCAGAATTCTTATATAGGAAGGAGAGCATCTATTAGCAAAGTGTATTCCAGTGACCAACAGAGGATGTTGGATATGGAAAGACTAGTAGAACTGTTTCTTCGTGTCTGAACCCCTCAGCTTGCTGTACCACCCCGCATCCCTTTATCAACATGAACATCTAGAATACTCCCCATTTTAATTTCTGTTTGCTTAATAAATATATCCCTTGCAACTTTATCTCAAATATTGTTCTTTTTTTTTTTTTTTTGAGAGAGTCTCGCTTTGTTGCCCAGGCTAGAGTGAGTGCCGTGGCGTCAGCCTAGCTCACAGCAACACTCAAACTAACTCCTGGGCTCAAGCATCTCCTGCTCAGCTCCCGAGTAGCTGGGACTCAGGCATGCACCACCATGCCCGGCTAATTTTTTCTATATATATTAGTTGGCCAATTAATTTGTTTCTATTTATAGTAGAGAAGGGGTCTCGCTCTTGCTCAGGGTGGTTTCGAACTCCTGACCTTGAGCAATCCGCCCGCCTCAGCCTCCCAGAGTGCTAGGATTACAGGCGTGAGCCACCGTGCCCAGCTCAAATATTGTTCTTTAATTAAGCACTCCCCATCTCACTTACAAGAGACTTCTCCTATGAACTCATAGCGCTTACTGATTTCTACTTTTTTTTACCAGAAATGACTAAAACATCCTCAAAAATACATTGTAAATACCATGACAGGGTAGTAAACAAAACAAGTGCTGGCAGATACTAAATTACTCAACAGACCCCTATCTAAGAATGGCTATTTCAGAGTGTAAGAGTATGGAGTCAGATATCAGATAGGCCTAGATTTTAATCACAGATATTCCATCATAAGGAAGTAACTGTAAAATATCTAAAAACTTGTTTTCTAACATAAAAAAAATGTAGTAGTGCTGCCACATTCATTTAGTCTTTTTTTTAAAAAAAAAAACACCTACCGTGTAATGGACTCTGTGCAAGTCAATCAATTTGACAACTTGGAAAAAAAAAACACCATAAAATGAATTGTCCTAAAACACCAACTGAATGCACGTGAAGGGACTTACCATACTAACCGTGTTCCACAGTACATGCTCCATGCGTGTTACTCCCCCTCCTTCCTGGACATCACTTAGAACCCTGGGACTCTGGTGCTTTTTTAATGTAAGAGGTGGTAGTCTTATTTTTCCATGTCCTTGTTTCTGTCTCACCAGGCGCCTATGCGGCTGTGATTCAAGGACAAGTTTTCCTTTCAGCTTTCGACAACATACAACGCCTCACTAGAGTTTCAGAGCACATTATTTCCAAGAACAAACCTTGCCTTGACGCGAGAACTTTGAAGACTTAGAAATGGCAGGTGTATTATTGCACTTTGCCAGTTCCTCAAATATCCTTATGTTATTTCCACAGACATTCTGAGCTAATTTTTTTTTTCTTTTTTTATACACTTCCTAGGTTGTGTGAAGGAGTCCGATTAGAAGGCCCCTGCCGGCTCTGACCGCTAGGGATGGAAGAAGAGGAAGGTTGGAGGCGGTGCAGGACTGTGGTAACAGGGGCAATGCCCTCCCCTCAACCCGCCCACCATGGAGCAGGGCCCTCCAACCCGCGCCCGACCTCGTGCGACACGGACAGCCACCTCGGTCTCAAGTCTTAAAGTTTCTTTATTGTGCTAACACTGCTGCCTCAGAGCCCCGCTCTTACACTGAACCATTCGTCCCAGACCCCTACCCACCGGGCCCGAGGCCCTCTGCTTTGGCTAGGGACACCGGGCCTCTGGCCTCAACCGCTCTTGGACACTGACTCCGCTTCCTCCTCCCTCCCTCATCCCTGAGCCTCCGGGCTTCGGAGGTGCGGAGAAGGTTCCAGACCGCCTTCCTCTGCCCTCGCCCATCCACTCCCATTTCGGGGGAGGAGGCTTTGCCTCCCTACGCATTTCCCGAGGGAAATGCCTTCAACCCCCAGCCGCCGGAAGGCCGGGGGCGAGCGAGGTCGGCACCAGCCCAAACGTGTCCCCAGCTGCGGGCAGAGAGCCCCGCACCCTCCTCCCGGCCAGGGCGCAGCCCGGCGCGGCGCGGCGCGCGCGCTCACACCAAGAGACCGTCCTTGCACTGCAGCGGGCCCTGGGCGCAGTCGGCCGGCTCCACGCTCTTGACCTTGACGTAGACCTGGGAGGGGCCCGCTTCGCAGGCAGCGGCGGTGGCGGTGCAGGGCGCCAGGGCCACGTCCTCGGGGCCACTGCAGGGCGGAGGCGCGTACTTGCGGCGCAGGGAGCGGCTTACGTTCTGCGTCGGGTACCCCAGGAGGTGGGTGACGCTGCTGCCGCGCCCGCTGGCCTTGCACCCGGGCGCCACGGCGTCCTCTCTGTGGGAAACAACAGGCGGGCGAGTGAGCGGGCTCCTCCGCGGCGCGGCGTGGCACGGCCTGGACAGAGCCAGCGGCTCTTGGCAACCTCTTGTCTCCCGCGCCTCCCTCCTCCACGTGCCCTCAGCATCGACCTATTCTCCTTTCTGCTCCTTCCTGGGCTGGCGCCCCCGCGGCTGTCCCGCGGGCCACCATACCCATCCTCCTAACTGGGCTGGTCCACACGTGTCCGGACAGCCACGGCAGACAGCCCCATCCAGGCGCAATCCGATCCCTTTCTGACATTCCGCAGAACCACCGCCTCTAATAGGCAGGGAGCCTTGGGCATCCGGAACAGCTGCTTTCCCTTCCCTTCTGTCCCCGACTGACCCTAGCCTGGCGCGGGCTTCCGCTCGTGCACGCTCTCTCGGCCCTTCCCTTCTCACCTCCTGCCCTTCGACCTTCTCCATCTATCCCTCCATCCTCAAGGCACTGCAATCATTAGCACTGCTAGTCCTGTTCTATTCTTTATTTCTAGTTTGCTTCTAATATAAGTTATTAGCACTATTCTTATTAGCTATTCTTAAATAAGCTTCTTAAATAACCTTGTTCTTACCGGCACAATACAGGGGAAACGAGAGAAAACATAGGCCCTGCCCTCCTGGAGCTTACAGTCTAGACAAGACAGAGAGGCGCGTAGGCAGGGGGGAAACGGAGGGCAAGAGGGCAGCGGTGAAGACTGGGAAGGGGAGAGACAGAAAAGCCATGCGGCGGGTGGCAGGTCGACATGCTGCGGTCCCAGCACTCCGTGGCGATGGCGAGCAGGGTGGGGTGGAGGTCCCAGCCGGCCGGTGGCAGGCAGGGGTGAGACGGGCAGGGCGCCGCTCCCCGGCCCGCACAGCAGCATGCAGCATGCATCAGGTTTTACCTGATCTCATTAGCCAAGTCGCCGCAGGCCCCTCCGCCGCAGGCCCCTCCGCCGTTGCGGTAGCCGAAGGCACCGCGGGCGACGCCAGCCCCGGCGCCCCCGCAGCAGCAGCACACGAGCCCCCAGATGCCCACCGCCAGGCAGGCCAGCGCGAGCAGAGAGCCCAGCACGGCGCCGATGATCATGCCCACGCGCCGGGAGTCTGCGGAGAGAAGGGGAGGCCAGTCAGTTTTCTCCCAGCCTGGCAGGGGCCTCACTGGCCAGGACGGGGCAGGGCAGGGGTCTGTGGGAAAAGGGGAAAGGGACTGGGGGAGTGGGTCTCCAAGCCCTGGGACACCCAAAGAGGAGGATATAAAGAGATGCAAGTTAACCCCTTATGCCTGCATGTTTTTCCCAGGGCTTTCAGCTGCTCTGGGCAGTGGAAAGACAGAGCCCGCTGAGGCTCCAAACTAGAGCCCAGGTACCTCCCGCCCCAACCCTCCCAGCCACCAGACCCTCGGGGCTGCTGCACCCACCTGAGACCTTGACCTCCACCACACAAACGCTGTAGCCCACTTGGTTGGCCACTGTGCACTGATACAGCCCGTCATCCGCTCTGGAGACATCGTTCAACACCAGGTCACCGTTGCCCAGGCCTGAAATTGAAGCAGAGGGGCCTGGCCTCAGATCTCCCACCCCAGCCTCAGCCCCTGTGGGGTGGGAGATGGGGCACCGGTTCTGGAAGGAAGGAAGGTGTATGCATGCATGTGAGCACACCCACGTGCACGCACAGACACACACACACACACACACACACACAGGTCCTCTCCACTCTCGGGGTGATTCACCCTCCCCCTGCCAAGACAGAGGCAAAGAAGTGGGAGGCAAGGAAGGACCCCTCTCCCAGCAGCAAGACAGTGACACCATTAGTTCTCTCTGTGACCTTAGAGAAATATGTCCCCTCTCTGAGTCTTGGTCTCCTCCCTTGTACTTTGAGGACAGGGTTAGACCAAAGGAACTCTAAGGTCCCTTCTAGCTCTGTTATGCTTTGTTTGACTGAATATTATTCAGCTTTTCTATGTGCTAGGAGCTTACACACCTTGCCCTACTTAATCCTCACATGCCCCTGAAAGGTAGACATTAGTATCCCCTTTTCACATACAAAGAAATCAAGGCACAGGGAGGGTAAGCCATGCTCCTTCCATATTAACCACGCTGCTTTTGACTGACTCCCACTGTTGGCTTCTCCTCTGCCCTCAATAGCAGCTGCTGGGACAGGCCCGCAGGGGAAGTCTCCCACAGGGGTTCCAGGTTTGACTTGATCCCACTGATAACCCAAGGAAGCCCCAGCAGGTCCCGGAGACTCCGATCTTCTGCTTGTCTCCACTCTGCCCTTGCTGGGGCTCCCCTCACCTTGAGTTACGGAGCTGTGGAAGGACTCCTGGTAGGAGAGCTCAGAGTGGAAGCTGTGCTGGGAGGCGTAGGACCCGGCTCGGTAGGGGTAAGTGTGCCCACTGATCTTGGCCCACTTGTAGGAGAGGGGCTGGGAGCCCCCGTTGGCAAAGCACTTCAGCACCAGGTCGTTGCCATATGTCATGTGGCCCTCAGTCCAGCACATGGGTACCGCAGGGCGGGCTGCAAGGAGAACAGGCAACTGTGAGCCAGGGCCCAGCCGAGAGGCAGAGCTGGGCTCAGAGTGGCCACGCTGCCTTTGGCTCTGAAGCCTGAGGAAGGGGAGCCCAGAGGAGTCTGGCCATACCTTGCACAGTAACGACGACCTTCCGGGTGGCCGTGGTGGTCTTCTTCACCCTGCACTCATAGGTGGCTGTGTCAGATACCTGCAGGTTCATGAGGTTGATGGAGGCATCGTACTGGCTGGGGTCCGTGGCTGCAAAGCGGACCCTCTGCTGCAAATGAGGGAGGTTGCCGTGATTGATCCTCTTGTCCTGGTAACTTAGGAACTGTGAAGAAGAAAGAAAAACAGGTAGTGAGACAGACAGAGCCAAGGAGGGCCATGCAGGTTGGTGCTTGAGAGATTCACTGAACATCTCTGAGACTCAGTTTTCTCAGCTGAAAAATAGGAATGATGAGGCCCATTCTTACATAATAGGTGAAATCAGGTGATCTCAGCTCTTTGGAAAGTGTAAGGGTAGGCTGAGAACTTCTTTAGGGGCCATACCTCATCTTCCCTTTGGAATGGGGTGGGAGGAGGTGAACTGACTGACTGACTTCAGTCACGATTACAGACTGCTCCTCCCTGTTGCCCCCTTCGTGAGAGGCTTTAGGGGGTAAGTACAAGGTCTTAGTTTCATTATTTGCCCTCCTTCTCCCCTCAGGGTGCTGGCTGCCCAACAGGCAGACTCCGTGAAGTGTAGGGTAAGGGAACCCCGTGCCCAGTACTCACTACGTTCTCCCGAGGTGCAGGGTCCGAGTTGACCTGCATCCACTCGATGTCCAGCCCACTGGGACCATAATCCTCAGGGTCCAGGATATAGGGGCAGCCCAACCTCACATTGTCACCTTCCGCCAGGTACAGGACCTCCTGGCCATCCCCGTTGATCCGCACAGCAGACAGCAGTGCTGGGGGCGGGCAGAGCAGCAGGTGAGTGGGGACAGAGCCGGGGCCTGAGAAATCAGCTTCAGCCCCTCCTCCCACCATTCCCCGCCCCAGGGCTCAATGGGGCTTCCATTGGCAGGAGGGGCTGCTCTGTGTGTGTGTGTGTGTGTGTGTGTGTGTGTGTATGAATTGCCATAGGCATGTCTGTGTGCACTTGTGTTGCATGTTTATTCATATGGCAGTGGCTGCATGCTATAGACACATGTATATATTCTATGATTGTGTAGGTTTGCATCTGAATACTGAATAGCTGTTATGTACGCCTATATGTACACATGATTGTGCATATGCATGTATGAGTGTGTACACATGTACATGTGTGCTTATGAGCATTTGTGGCTGCTTATATGTACTCTAAGGATGTTTATGCACATGACCATGTGGGGCGTCTGCTTATATACTTACATGATAGTATGGGTGTGCTAGCGTGTGTGTGTGTGTGTGTGTGTGTGTGTGTGTGTAGGCATGTGGAGCACACAGAGTTGTTAATGCTCTGGTGGGAGAAACTGCCTGGTTAAATGCCGCCCGTCTGGGCTCTGCCTGGGCTGCGTGACGTGCCCCTGTCCAGAGGCGGGAGGATGGGTACAGTGGCTTCTGGGATCCTCTCCAGCCCGAGAAGCAGAAGACCGAGTGAGCTGCGTGTGGCTGTGTATGACAGTGTGTGTCCGTGGCTGCATGCCTCAGTGTGGTATTGTGCAGTGGTGTGTGACAATGTGAGCCTGCTTGTGTAAGCGTGCAAAGTCGCAGTGTGTGCCCGTGTGTGGTGGTGGGCAACTGTGACCGGGAGCCTGGCTGTGTTTGTGTGACAGTGAGTGACGGTGCATGGCTGGGACTATGGCCACAGGTATCTGTAGGACAATGTGAGCCTTGTGTGATGATGTGTGGCATCATGGACCATGTGTCCTTCCCCTCGTGGGGTTGCGTGGCCCAGTACAGCCGCCCCCACACGCTCGCTCCCAGCGAGGCCCCTCCTGCCACTGAGTCAGCGCAGCCCTGGGGGAGGAGCCGGGATCCCAGGATCCGGGAGCTCAGGACTGAGCTCCTCTCCCTCCCTACCCTGAAGCCCCAGGCAAGCCTAGCCCCAACCGGTTGGACCTAGAGAGGGATAAGAAGGGGGCTGTGCCCAGGGCCCCACCCTGGGCACTCTGCCCTCTGCCTCCCCGGCCCCTCAGCCTGTCTCAATCCCTTTGCATCTGCTTTCCTTTTTGAGTCCCAGCCCCAGGTCTCAATCATTCTCTTCTGTCTTTCTCTGGCTCGGGACCATGTTCACACTTAAGAGAACATCTCTCTCTCTCCTTCACACACACACACACACACACACACACACACACACACACAATTACACACTGTCATCGGCAAACAAATTGGCACACACACACACACACTCTTACAAGCCTTCAAAATGCAGATACATTCCCATGCGGCCCCACCTTCCTCTACACGCAGACACTGTCGGATCTATACAAACACAGACACGCATCTGCACACAAACACAGCCACATTTTAATCCCAAAGACACGCCCACTGCACGCTCCTATAGTTCCTATGTATGTGCATTCACGACCAGACATATCTGCAGAAGCCCTGCTTGGAAGGCTTAGCCTGGCTCCAGAGAGGCCAGCAAGGACCTTTTTAACACCAAAACCTCAGGGATCCCTGAACTTAGGGGCTCCTAGGGGAACCCTGCTTAGGCCGTCAGCCATGGCCTAGCCCAGCTAGACTCCAGGGTGACCCAGAGCATGCAGGTGGCAGCTGGGGCTCTAACGGGACCAGTGATGCCTCCTCCAGCCCCAGGCCAAGAGAACACCAGCTCATTCCTGAGATAAGGATCCTGCTGCCATGTGCCAGATCCTGGGGCGGCACAGGCCAGCCAGGGAGAGGTGAGTGAGAGCTCGGCTGGGAGCAGAGGCTCCACCCTGGGGAAGCCACTAGAAGCGGCCCACACAGGCAGGGTTCTTTCCTCGTGCCACAGAAGCCAGCCAGGCAGGAGGGTAAGTATTCAGGGAGAGGGCTTGGGACGGAGGGATGGGAAGGAGGGACAGGCTGGAAGAAGCGTGCCTCCACTCTGCACTAGGCTGAGAGTTCCTTCAACTGTCCCGGCCAGGGAGCCTCACCCAGCTTTTCCATTTCCTTAGACGTTGTCCCAACCTCCTCCCAGAGTTCCAGCCTCTCTGCACCCCTCCCTCTCCTTGGGAGCTTTTCCCTGGCGTCTCACCTGGCACTGAGGAAGTACTTCCAGGGAACGTGCGAAAGAGAGAGGCCGGGCAGAGGGAGGACAGCCGGGGTGGAAGAGAGACCTGACAGGGAGACTTGGGGAGATGGGGGGACTGGGCGAGTCGCAACAGGCTCTTGAAGGAAGAGGACAGCGGTGATTAATTGTCACCCCACAAAAGCACCAGGGCTGGACGCCCTCTGCGAGGTGTCACCCCAATAGTAGTGTCTGCTCTCGGCTTGTAAATCCTTTCCGAATTTTCAAGCTGCCTCTAGAACTGCAGAGCCTCCCTCCGGGGGAGAAGGGGGTAGAAAAGGCGGCTCCCACAAGGGCACTGGTGCGTAAAGCACGCAGCGCTCAGTCCGTCCTCACACACCCGTGGACACACAACACACACGCACCGAGGTGGCAGGTCCCCACAGCACAGCCGGAGCTCGCCGAGTGGGCTCTGCCGGGCCGGCTCGCACCAGACAGAGAGCAGGTGCGGCTGTTCTGCCAGAAACGCCATGGTTCACGCACATACAACCCACACCCGCATACACGGCCACGCTCACACAAAGTCCAAAAATGTTCCCCCTTCCCGCACTCCTCCCCCCCCCAAATCCAGACCAGGTGAGCACACAGAGCACCTGCACACGCGTGTGAGCCCCACAGGGCACGTGGATACATGGAGGTCCCCTCACAGACCTCTACACCACACACGTGACCCAGCATAGGCTCTCCCACGGAGAGGCCCCCAGCAGCGTCCAGACCCGGTGGCAGCAGGGCAAGGGTGGGCAGCGCCCTGCCGGGGAGGGGAGCATCTCTGCCTGCCTTTGAGGCTCCCCTGTGAGCCCTTGGTACCCCTCTCCCCACCCATCTGGCCTCGTGCTGGGTGTCCCGACCACTGCCCCGTACCTGGGCTCAGGCACACGAGTAGAAGATGGAACGCTCCTCGAACTCCCATGTCTCTAGGCTCGGTGTTTCCTCCACCTGGGCTGGGTATCCTGTGGGCTGCAGTGTGGGTGTGAGGGGGCTGGTGGAGGGAGGGGGAGCCGAGGGCCCAGACACTGCCCGGGGTGGCAGGAAGGTGCAATGAGTGCCCGGCTGGGGAGCAGCCGGAGTTATTTCTATGGAAGGGAGGGGGCCTGGTCCCCGCCTTGGGGAGGAGTCCCAGGAACCCTAATTAGCGGGGTGACAGGGTGGCCTACCCAGGCATTACCCAGCCCTTACCCAAGCTCTTCCCTGTCCCAAGAGTGGCGCAGGGCAGCCAGCGGGACTTGTAATTAGGCACCTGTTAAACTTCACTTCCTCCTGACCACGTCCTTGGGGTGACAACAGTCACCCCATTTACAGCTTCCATGAGCTCCCCTCACCACTCATTTGCTGCCACCTTCCCTGGAGGAAGTGAGGAAGAGGAAGGAAAGGCCAGGCTCCTAGAGGGATGGTGGCCACACCTTGAGGAGTTAACACTGACCGCAGGCCACAGGGGCCTGCCACCCCCTCCCCAGTGCAGGCTCCACCATCCAAGCCCCACCCACCCCTGCAAGCATCCCCGACCTTCCAGGGCCCCAGGTGGGGATCTGTGAGAAGGTGCATTAGGGAAGGGGACACTTCTCCCATGCTGGGACCTGGGCCGGAGAGGAGGCCCAGGGAGATGAAGGGGACCCAGGAATGACCAGCCTGCCTTTCCCCTGAGGCCTCTGGCCTTTCAAAGGGAGTCGGGCCTCCTGAGCTCCAAGAGGAGGGAAGGGGTGTGTTCAGGGACAGTCTCCCCCAGATTTCCCCTGTGACTCCGGGTCACCCCCGAGTATAAAGGACCCCTGGGAGCCAGGGTGTCATGGCGGACTCGGGGTGTGTGGTGGGAGTGAGCTGAGTGTGCGGGGTGGAACACTGCCAGGACTGGGGAAGGGGTGCACCTGTGTGAGCGTGCACACCCTTCACAGGGGCCTGCGTGTGCCAGGGAGGCAGGTGTCCACGTGCCAGGGAGTCTCTCTTGAGGAGGGCAGCCTTCTGTGTGTACTTCTTTGAGGGATCACTTGGTGTCCTGGCTTCTACGCACAGGAAAAATGGCCAGGCCTTGAATGAACTGGGTCCCTGAGACCCAGGACCCTCATAACCTGGCCGGTCTCAGGGTGACTAAGCCAGCACAGTCCTGGGCAGGCCAGAGCTGGGGTGGGGCCGGTCCTGGTGGGCAGGAGGAGAAAGGTAGAGGGCCAGCCTTTGGTCAACCCAAGGGGCACAGAACAGCCTTGTGACTCCCCGGGACACAGTGGTGGAGCTCATGAGTGGCCCTGTTCAATAGCCCGACCTCCTCAAAAAAGTCAGAGCCCATCCCCCACCCCTGACATTGGGCACAGGAAAGCCAGAGGGGGAAGAGTCTTGGGGAGTTACGGGGCTCAGGGATGCTGCCAGGACCCACCCCTTTGGCAAAAACAAGACATAACAATAAGGAAGCACAAGGAGTCCACACATCTCTGCATTCCAAACCCCTCCACCTGAACTCCCAACAATAGCAGGCTGCTTTGGGGCCAACCAGACATACACAATGAATATCTTTATTTCCTTATTTATTTTGAGGTTTATGGGATTGTCCTGCACCCTCTGGAGAGCAGGGATCATTATCCCCATTTTACAGATGGGGAAACAGGGGTCTGGAGAAACATGGGGAGTCAGCCCAGGGGATGCTGCTGGGGCTGAGTGGGGGATACCCAGGCCTCCTGGCTCCCAGTCCAGAGTGGTCCAGGAAAGGGCTCAGTGATCCTGGGTTACTAGAGCCACTCATGAGAAGAGAGTGTGGAAGGTCAGTGGTGGGTGGAGGGGAGAACAGGTGGGGCCGGGAAGAGTGAGACTGAGAAGAAAGGAGTGAGGTTGTGGTTTCATTACACCAAAGTGCAGGCTTGAGGGTGAGTTGGGTTCTACACTTGGCCTAATGTTAGAGCCGGGGTGA